TTACACAAATGTTCTGCCCCAGTTCTTGTACCTGAACTTGGTAAGATTCTGTGCTGAGATGTAGAGGAAGGAATAAACAAACTAAGAATGAAACAAAAAGCAGCCCAAAAATAAAACATTGAAAGATTTTATGAATGTTTGGACAGCTTCGGATTGATACCATTTTAGAACATTGCTTAAAAGTTAACTTCTTTATTCTCTAGAAGCATCCATCGAAATGTTGTTGAATGAATTAAATGATGCCCAGTTGTTGAAAAGATTTGTAACATATAACCATAAAAATCAGGCCTAAAATACACGGGAGCAGGTCTAAGTCTGGGGCGAGGCCATATTAGACGCCATGTTTCCTTCTACGGGAGCTTGTGAGGACAAAATGCATTTACTATAACAAAGAGTTACAAAACCTCCACCATTCATAAACGTTGTTGTTTTACACATTTACCTCTTCACTCGTTTCCATTGACGAAGGGAAGTCCGCATGTCATTTTGCTGAAAGTTCCACTCCCAGGGATTTTTGACCCTAATGGCCATCCGTTGGTAAGGTCTTACTCAAACACAAAAATGCAGCTTTATTAAGGTATGCACTGCCCATTATCATCAGGAAAATACATATCGTCACTTTAAAGAAATAATAAGTAAGGAAAGAAAATTTTCTTTATGATTAATCTAGCAAAGGCTGAAACAAACTTCTGCGAGAGAGTAGCAGCAAAAACAGCTATGTCCTGTCAAATATCTAGACCACGCCATCAATGTTGGGATTTTATTTCGTAAAATCAGTTGTGACACGAATCACCTGACCATTTTTTTAAGGTGCGGAACACTGGAAAAAAGTATGATTATTTTTGATGATAATCAGTCACCTCGATTTTTTTATGCAGGACGAACATGAAAATAGTCTCCTACACCTATCTCCTGCATTAGCTTCTGATAGAAATTAGATGGTGAAACTCAAGGATTAGAAAGGCCTGATAGATCTACGTCACACTGTCACTTAGCATTCTAGTAGAAGCTAACCATTAGCGTTAGCAACTCAACCACACAACAGAAGCTCCTCTTGTGTCATTTGTGGAGATAAAACATCAATTTTGCGAAGCAAACGGAGTCAGTGGTAGAGTCGTGCTGCTATTAACCAATCAGAGGCGAGATATCCATATCAGGAAATAAGAGTCCAAATCTTGTAATTTTTGTCCACTTTCTCCTCCAGCTAACTCCTCCATGCTGATGCAGGCACTGATGGGCTATTTTTACCCCTGAGTATGACTTACAAGGCATTTATTCTTGCTAGACAGTTTCTACCACCAAGCCATACGACACCTCAACCATTACACTTAAACACACACTTAAACACACACAACACAGGATACAGATGTTACCTTGCAGCTCCACAAGTAAAATTTAATCTGCACTGGTTACTTCATTTTAATGTTACTACTCACTTTTTTTAGATATATTTATATTTAGTCATCTATACTTACTTATCTATTTAGTAAGCTTTTACTTTTAGCATGACTCTCTAATATTTTGCTTTTACTGTATTATACCTTGTTCTTTTTTCTATTGTATTATGCTGCTGAGAGACCGCTGCTCGTCAAACACATTTCATTGCAATGTTGACCCTGTGCTAACTTGCATATGGCAAATAAACTAAACTAAACTAAACTAGAGACCACTGAAAATGTATTGACGAGTGTTCAACAACTTTTAGAGTTTGTGCTGTAAAAGAACACCAGCAGGTATATTTATCCAGACTGTTACTGATTGTTCTGTATGTACGATTAAGAAAGAAAGAAAAGAAAGAAAACGATCTTTCATATAGCATCTCTCAAGATAAAAATCAACTAGTTGTTATATATGTACTCTTTCCTGCATAAATAAAATAAACATTAAGTATTAAATAAAGAACCTCAGCAGGTAAAGTTTCATGCTTAAAACAGTGTGCTGAAACTTGATTTAAACTCTTTAAAAGATGCCAAAACCAAATTAATGCAAACTAGAAGTAAAACAAGGTGAAACTTTCCTGAAGTGATCATCTGTGTCAGAACTCACATTCATGTTTCATATGGAGGGGTTGCGTTGGGTCGAGTAGGAGTTGAGCTAATACCAGTAATAAATGTTGGATGGTTAGTTGGTTAACTAACTTACCTCTGAATAATGTGTTTCTTACGGGGCCACTCGGGCCACGGTTGATGGATGGCCTTACAGAAGCTGGGTCAATTAGCCAGGCTGGATTTGCCTTCATGCAGGCTGCAGACAGCACTGGGAGAGTTCCAGCCTTTGTCACGCGGCCTGGCTGTAATTAATCACCAGCGCAAGGCCTTCTCACCTCACACAGCCGCGCGCACAAACAGCCAATACTTACGTTTGGGCCAAATTACATCTCCACTCTTCTAATCTGGCTAATTGTCAACAATGTACTACTTGGAGGAGGAGAAAGACGCAGTTATTAAAGGCGTCCCTGCGAACGAACAGATCAGTTCTGTGTATCTGCAGCCTGATTTAGTCATGTTAGCAAATTACAGGAAGTCAGTTCGACTCGGACGTTTAGGTGGAAGAACTCAAGGGTCTGAATACTTCTAAATGTTTGATAGAGAATCAAAGAGTGACAAACACAAAAAAAGCACATCAGTAAGCACCGTTAGATGTGTTTCCCCCTGCTTTTATCTACCTATTCCTCTGTTAAACTGTTTGTGTTTAGGTCTGTCTCTCCCACTTTCATATAAAACCAAGTACAGAGGCACAGACTGAGAGGCTTTGTACAGAGACGTCACTCCGCGTCCACAGAACACACTCATGTGGACTGGACAAAAGCAGCAGGCTGACAGATGAGGTTTGCCTCTGGGGGCTGGGGATCTATGTGTTGCTGCTGCTGCTGCTGTGTGTGTGTGTGTGTGTGTGTGTGTGTGTGTGTGTGTGTGTGTGTGTGTGTGTGTGTGTGTGTGTGTGTGTGTGTGTGTGTGTGTGTGTGTGTGTGTGTGTGTGTGTGTGTGTGTGTGTGTGTGTGTGTGTGTGTGTGTGTGTGTGTGTGTGTGTGTGTGTGTGTGTGTGTGTGTGTGTGTGTGTGCATAAACTTTGCATTGTGCACGCATGTGTGCACCTTTTTTGTGAATGCACCCTGCAAATCTGTGTGTGTGCGTGCGTGTGTGTGTGTGTGTGTGTGTGTGTGTGTGTGTGTGTGTGTGTGTGTGTGTGTGTGTGTGTGTGTGTGTGTGTGTGTGTGTGTGTGTGTGTGTGTGTGTGTGTGAGAATGGTTGGGGGGTGGTCTCATGGGGCAGCTCTGTGTCTCTCCCATCTGCCACCCCACTCTAGTGACACCCAAGGGAATGGCAGGGAAGGGGTGGGGAATTCATTTTGGGAGAAAAGAATCGGGGTCCGTCGGTCTAATGGGCAACAACGCCGGTTTTCACTGATGGGCCAAAGGCAAAGGACACTGGCTGGGTGTGTGGAAGCCAATCTACCAATCTATTTGACAAAACAGTGGGCCACCCCCGTCAAGCACTGCCTGAGCCTGCCTAATAAGGCACGCACACCCCTGATTATGCCCCAAATGAGAAAGGGGTCCAGTGTATTTTGCACACATGCACACAGACGTCACACACACCCGGGGCTAATGTCAACCTAATGCATGACCATGCTGTGGCCAGAGGGCTAATTGGGTATATAAACACAAACATATCCCTTGAGAGATTAGAAGGGAATGGGTGCATTTTGTGCTCCTTCTTTTGTGAGAAACACAAAAACCTAAACAGGAAACGTATCATATTTTATCGAGGATGACATGATTGCGCTCTCATGTACCCAGCGCCTTGATGCTCTGGTGTGAGATGACTTGGTGGCAGGTGGTGCCTCTTGCTGTCTTTATCCAAACTGTGATCAGGAAATGGTAAACAGCACCTCTGCAACATAACAGTCATGAGCATATGGCTCTGGTACCATTGGGCAGAAGGAGCACTCAGTGAGATGAACACGGAGGTGTTGGCAACAAAGATGACTTTAACTTGTCAAATTAACAACACATCAAAGGAAAGAAGGAGATACAAGGATGAAGAGTCTTGTAGTGGTCAAAACAGCAGCAGCGTTGGAGGTTTGAAGTCCACGTGCCTTTCAGTGTTGCTGCTAAAGTACAGTTAGCTCTTTTCTGTTTCGTACAATCACAAAACATGTTACCCTACCCCCTCTCTGCTTTCAGGGCTATGTTAATGAAACAGTTGCTGTTTCCTGGCATAACATTAATTACCCGATCAAAATAGAGTGGCTAATTAACTGCCCTTCTTTAGCGCTGCTAATTACATTAACAGAGAAGGACCAGTTTAAGGGAGCAAAAAAAGAGAGAAAGAAAAGAAGGGATGAAGCTGTGGCAAACAAAGAGTGGAAAATAAGGTAAGGCTCAAGCTTCTGTGTGTGTGTGTGTGTGTGTGTGTGTGTGTGTGTGTGTGTGTGTGTGTGTGTGTGTGTGTGTGTGTGTGTGTGTGTGTGTGTGTGTGTGTGTGTGTGTGTGTGTGTGTGTGTGTGTGTGTGTGTGTGTGTGTGTGTGTGTGTGTGTGTGTGTGTGTGTGTGTGTGTGTGTGTGTGTGTGTGTGTGTCTGTTTTTCGAGAGAGAGGAAGAGGCTGCGTTGGAGGGAGACTCATGTGGTTCTCGCTTGGGCCCCCAGAGGCTTGGTCCTCAGAGAGAAGCAGGCTTATTGGAGAGGAGAAAGATGGGAGGGGGGTGTTGTTTATCTTGACATGCTCCACTCAGTCTTTAACGCTCGCATCACAATTAAGATGCTGCGGCTCATCAGCTATGTATACAAAACAGTGTAACAAGCTGCACGAGCACACAGGTGATGGGCACAGTCAAAAATAGATCCTGCGCAGCCCTGAAAGATAAAAGCATCAGTGTTTCGGACAACAATCCCCACAAATGCCCTCTAAGAAACATTCAGCACCACTTTATTTTCTTTTTCTTATTGGTTTTATTTGGAGCACAAAATATAATTACACCTTCAAATTTACAAATCACATTTGCACCAAATTTTGTATTAATTCAAAGAAACATTGCTTCAAAAAACATAATAATAAATTGCTAATGATTTTTTTAAAATAAATAAGATAACAAAGTCTAAAAGCAAATTTCCGAATGACATCTACTCTTTGTGTTTTTGCGTGCACGTCCTGAGAATGCTGCTTTTGCTGTGATACCTGGATAATAATAATAATAATAATAATAATAATAATAATAATAATAATAATAATGAATGTTTCTGCTGAAGCTGTTGTGCTTTTGATTCACGCTACTGCATAGTGACTATCTTGTACTGGATCGACACATTAAAAATGACCAAATTCTGTGAATAGTTGTGTGAGCTGCAAAAGTATAACAGCATTAGTGTAAAAAAAAGCATGCATTTTATGTGAAAATTAAAAAAAGAAATGCTAACTAATATTTCTGGTATACAAGGACAATAACTGTGGGCATAACATTCATATTTTGTGAAACTGGAATGTTTGACTTTTAAAAAATGCTTTTTTTTCGCTGGGATAGGAAAAAAATCAATTACTAGGTATCATTTATCAAACTAATTGGCAATTGCTGAGATCATTTAATTTCATTAACAGTTGAAAAGAGGACCACTTTATAAAAACACGTTTATATTTTCCCTAAGCTAACAATAATAAGTTAAATTGCTTGTTCTTAAATAAATCAATATATGAATTGCTTTAGAAATAACCCATGAGACAAAGTTTTCTTCCTTGAAAAAACCATAAAGACAAAAACAAACAAAAAAATAAAGGTTCTATTTTTCTGGAATGTAAGTTGTCTTCAAATAGTCTACTAAAAAAAATCTCTCGCTAGCACACAGACAGTGTACACACATGCCATTTATGGTGTCCATACACGGGAAAAAGTAGCACCCTGCTTTTGAGAGCTGCGGTGAGAGCTGTCCGTCATTTGTGCTCCAGCAGCGCATCCAGTAAGTGTCCGACGAAAGCTTTGTGCAGGTGCTGCAAGAGCTGAATACTGCATGTGCTACCAGGCCAGAGGTCAGCTCAGATCCTTTTGAAGCTTGAGGTGAAATTTTAAAGAGCTTTTCTTTGTTTCCTGCCAGAAACTTTGTTAGAAACACACAAGCCGCAGCACAGGAACCAGTCTGCTGCTGTTGTTGTGGGAGGAGTCTGTCTGGATGTGGCTGGAGTGTGTTTTCCTCTGCATCTGGAGTAGATGGCTGGTCTTTGGACAGATTTTAATATCCCGCCTCTTTCATCCAGCTGGATGTGAAAAGGGAACTGGGGGAGATGTGTCGGATCAGAGAGTAAAGTTACACGCGGTCACTAGTGATCAGTTTTTCATCCTCCCTGTCCCGTCAGTGCCATAAAAAGGGGGCTAAGTGAAGATCTGGGGTAGACTGGGACGGGTGCTTTACTACATCTGGGGAACAACCAGGCCCGTCATCGCTGGAGAGAAAAACATATACAAAGATCTATGATTCTAGTCAGTCAGGTCTGTCATCATTGTACATCCAGCAAGTCTTTCTTTGTTTTGTTCAGTTTGGAGTTTGTTAGTACAGGGGTTAGACTGCATTTGTGAGTTCAGACAGCGGGGTCAGATAGTGAGTCGGATGGCTACCTCTGAAGCTGTTTCCCCCTGAGGCGGGGCACGCAGGGGAAGGAGAGCCCTGGGGCCTGAGGACGGGAGCAAAAGCACTCTTCTGTTTAGCAGCAGAGGGGAAAGAGGAGAAGGGTAAGAGGGATGAAGAGGAGCTGGAGCTTCCAGGTATGGTGGGGCTGGAGGGCATGACTGTGGGAAAGGAGAGCGACAGTCAGCATCAGGCTCAAAAATCAGACAAATGTTCACTTTTGGAACAAGTAGGAGCTTACTGTAGGGTGAGCTGGTGGGGGAGGCACTGCTGAAGCCAGGAGATCCAGGAACTCCAAGGCTAGTCATGGGAACTGTCCCGTAGCCTCCAGTCATCCCCCCGGCACCGCCGTAACTCGACTGCTGGGGAGTGGAAGCTGATGGGTAACCTCTTGGAGACAAACTGCTGGAGTTACGAATGTAACCTGAAGGAGAAAATAAAACATTGTGTTCGCTCTGAGCCTGGGATAAATCAGTAACAGAGACCTGTGTGACTCACTAATCTCACCTTGGCTGCTCTGACCTGGATCTCCGATGCTAACGCCCAGCTGTGAAGGGTAGGAGCCCAGGCCCATGACGCTGCCGTGTGCCGGTGAGCTCGGCAGAGCCTGGAGCTGACTGTGAGGACGAGGAACGCTGTAGAGGGCCTCAGCGATGTCAGCTGCACGTTTTAGCAGCATGTCCTACAAGAAACCAAAGCAAGTGGTCACTTGTGGTGTATATGAAACATGACACGGCTTTGATCAGCTGACATGATGCTGATGCTGTCATTCTTTGCATTTTGTTAGAATGATTAATCTCTGACTCTTAGAATGTTTAAGCTACAACCCATTAATTCATCCTATACAGAGGGGCAAAAAGTACTTCAGCCTCCAACTGTGCACGTTCTCCCAAATAAAAAGATCAGAAAGACCTGTAAGTGTCATCAACTATGAGAGACAAAATTAGAAAAAATTAATCCAGAAGATTACATTGTCTGATTTTTAAATAATTTATTTGAATTATGGTGGGAAATTAAAATTTCATCAAAAGCAAAATTCCATCTCAATGAGTTGTTATATTTGTTGGCAATGACAGAGGTCAAATGTCTTAACATGTTTTTCACACGCTGTTGCAGGTATTTTGGCCCGTGCAGATCTCTAGAGCAGTCATGTTTTGGGGCTGAGATTTTCTGTGTGGGTGAGATCTGGAGACTAGCTAGACCACTCCAGGACTTTGAAATGCTTCTTATGAAGCTACTCCTTCATTGGCTAGGCGGTTTGTTTGGGATCATTGTCATGCTGAAAGACCCAGACATGTTTCATCTTCGCTGCACTTGCTGATGGAAGGTTTTCACTCAAAATCTGACCATACTTGGCCCCTTTCATTCTTTCCTTTACATGGATCAGTGATCCTGGTCCCTTTGCAGAAAAACAGCCCCAAAGCATGATGTTTCCACTCCCATGCTTGATCTTGGGACGCAAGTCATTCGTTCTCTTCCAAACACGATGAGTAAAGTTTTTACCGAAAAGTTTATTTTGGTTTCTTCTGACATGCTCCCAATCCTCCTCTGGATCATCCAAATGCTCTCTACCAATCTTCAGACAGGCCTGCACGTGTACCAGCTTAAGCAGGGGGACACGTCTGGCACTGCAGGATCTGGGTCTCTGGCGGCGTTGTGTTACTGATGGTAGCCTTTGTAACGTTGGTCCCAGCTCTCTGCTAGTCATTCACTAGGTCTTTCTGTGTAGTTATGAGATTTTTCCTCACCATTCTTGTGATCATTTTGACCCCACAGGGTGAGGTCTTGCATGGAGCCCCTGATCGAGGGAAATTATCAGTGGTCTTGCATGTCTTCCACTCTCTAATAAATTACAGTTGATTTCTTCACACCAAGCTGCTTACCTGTTGCAGATTCAGTTTTCCCAGCCTGCTGCAGATCTACAGTTTTGTTTCTGGTGTCGTTTGACAGCTCCTTGGGCTGGGCCATAGTGGAGTTTGGAGTGTGACTGTTTGAGGTTGTGGACAGGTGTCATTTATACTAATAACAGGTTCTAACAGATGCCATTAATACAAGTAACAGGTGGAGAACAGAGCAACCTCTTAAAGAAGAAGTTACGGGCCTGTAAGAGCTGGAATGTTACTTGTTTGTAGGAGACCAACTATTTATTTTCCACCACAATTCGCTAATAAATTCTTTAAAAATCAGACAATGTGATTCTGTGGATTAATTTTTTTCATATCGTCTCTCATAGCTGAGATTTACCTATGATGAAAATTACAGGCCTCTCATTTCCTTAAGTGGGAGAACTTGCACAATTGGAGTCTGAACACAGGTCTAACAATTTTCTTACTTGTTATTTTTTAATAAAATCTACACTTTTCATCTGTTTTTATATATATATTTGAGGTAAACTATTCCCAAATTACCTGATTGCTGTGTGGATTTCCATACAGAGCCTCTACAAGATCTGCTGCTCTTTTCAGGAGAATCTCCTGCAAAAAAGAAATGTATTTATTAACATTTTTGGAACATGGCATTCACAGTCCCTTGAAAAATGAACACAGGAAGTTCATTTATCACCTTGGCTAGTTTCTCTGGGTCACCTGGATGTCGGGGGATTACCTTCTGGAGACGCTGAAAACCGTAGTCTATAGTTGGCTCATTAAGAGCTAAAGAAAAAAGCATTTAGCATGTCAAACTCCAGCCACAATTCATCTTAAATACATCGGATTGCTGGTCAATTTAGACAGAAACACACAGATCCGTTTTAATACCTGTGTAGATGAAGCGCCCTGGCGCTCCCTTGCAGAACTGCTTCGATTTATAAGACAGCGTGACCTCCACAACCCCGGGGATGTGTCGAGGAGGCGTCTGTACTCTGATAGCGTGTGGAGTGATCAGCTGAGGATGAAGCACAGAAACTGTGTCACAAATGAGCCTTTTAAATATTTAGTCTAACACAATCCTATGGAAAGATTAAACGGTTTAGACTGCCCATAAATCATCCAAATAATGAGACAAGCCATATGCTGTGTATTTCACTTCACAATATGTACCATCATTAGTGAGATGTTTTGTAGACAACTCTTACCTCACTCCAGACTAACATGCTTCCAAACACCACCTGCAGCCCGTCGAAGAAGTTCTCCCCGATGACTATGACCATGGCCCCTCCGGTGGTCCAGCCTTCACTGGGACTGATGGCTTTGATGCATGGGGTAGCTAATAAAGGGGAGCGAAGCCCAATTTAATCAAAACATCACCATTAACAGCTAAAAAAGAGAGAGCAGACATTGCTTTTTATATTAGTCTGATGAGAAATGTCGATTTTTCACTTTTACTAGTGTTTTGTCAGAGATCAGATCAAATAAGTTCAAGTTAAAGATACATTTGAACTCATTTAATTCAAATTATGAAGATTACAATGACTTCTAAATCAAATTTATATAAAAAGTTGTTTGGGGGGGAAAACCCTGAAGCTAATTAATACTAAAATAAATACAATATAAAAAGAAATGTGGACAGACTGAAGAAAGCATTCAAAACGTTTGCTTATGTTCATAATAAAGCTGTGCAGAAACTTTAAGGTAACAAGTAACAGCTCTACATTATCACGTTTGAGTAAAATGCCAAGAAAAAAACGTGGAAAACAAACAAACTTGTTGTGTTTTATCTTTGAATAGCATCTAAGAACCAGAGTGGAGGAGGAAGGCCTCCATGGTCACTCTGGATCTAAAACTGTAAACTGTTTTTCACTTACAGGATATTTTATGTCTTCATCTGTAAAATTAGAGAAGTTTAAACACATTTTATTAATGCATTAAAGGGAAAAGATGAAGTTTTGGCTTGCTTTTAGCATCCCATAGAGTCCATTATTAATTCCCTGTTGTAAAACCAGAAATGAAGCCCATCTCCTCGCTGAGCATTCCTCCTTTTAACATCTTCATCTAACAGCTGAAATGTCTCCTCAGCCTTCATTATGTTCAACAGACGTGGTTCATCACTGAATGAAACAAATCAGCTGTGTTCATGATCTAAAACATGCATGGAAACATGCAGCAGACTCCAGCAGTAGAATATCAGCTCCACTTTATTAAAGAGCAAGTAACGCCTAAATTTACTTTGTTTGGTGATAACCTGTATAGATGAGAATCTAACGGTGCTGTACACATGTGTAACTTACTTTGAATTTAATATTTCAGCCCCAAACCATAATTATATCTCCATCTTCAGGTTAAAAACTCTGCTCCACATTTATGTAGAACCAGCAGTGGCTGATGGCTAAGCTGAAAAACGTGACGTTATCAGCAAAGTACTACGTGGCTCCACTGCACTGGTCTCCGGGTGAGGCAGCCGCACCTCCACCTGGTTCAGCCACTCACCAGCCGACATGACACGCTAGCGCTCTGAGCCGCTCGCCTCCTTGAAAAAAATGCCCTCCTCCCCTTTTTCATCTAATGATCGTGGTTAAAGAGCAAGTCACCCCCTACAAGAAATTTACTTCACTCCCTCTTCATGTTTGAAAAATGCAACAAGTGCTGCTGCCTTGCAGACCGAGAGGGCGGAGCCGCAAACAAATACACACACACACACAGGCTCACAACGACATTGTGACATCATAAGGACCAGTTTACATCACAGCATACCTCTTAGCCAATAGCGGTGGCAGATTTAAATTCAAATACAGTGCAGAGTTTTTACCTGACGACGGCACAACACTGCCAGTTTTAGGCAGAAAATTACAATTTTAACTAAAATGCACTAAAGTACAAAACTATTGACTACACGTGTCTGCAGCACGATTAGACACGCATTTATGTAGTTTATCAGCAAAAAAAGTTGATTTGGGGGTGACTTGCTCTTTAACAGGAAATGCTCCAGAGTGCTGCAGAATCTGAGTCTGCTTTTCTCCTGAGGGGTAAGTCTTGTGTGAGTGCGTGCTTGTGTGCACGCGCTCGTTAACAGCTAGTTTTTAGATTGAGAAACTCCGACAGCCCACGCGGGGGGGTTGAGGGGGGTGCGGTCTACCACTGCCTCAGTGCCGCTCTCTCGGTCCGCCAGAAGACGCCTCTTTCAGAAGCGTTTTCCTAACAGGAAGTGTGGATGAAATACATCTCCACCCAGGCCTTGACCCTCACTTTAAGTCCAACAGGGACCGGACTGTCTGCACTCTGAAGTTGTAAGTGCGGTATTCTGGCAACAGAGGGTGGTGGGGGTCTGAGTGGCATTTCATCAACCCTGTAAACGGTAATTTTGCCACATACTGGCTCAAGAAAATGATTTAGATTTGGAAAAGTCGCAGTGGTCTCTAGTATTTAATTAATGCCTTTTGAGTTGTTCTCTGTGAGGAAAAAGATCTGGCGCTCCTGTTTCAGGAAGCAGAAGATGGCCACAACTCTTCCAGTGACTCTATTTGCTCTACAACATTGATGTTTTATCCTCACAAATAACTCAAGGCTATTTGGGGAGGTCTGTTGTGTGGTGGAGTTGTTAATGCTAATGGTTAGCTTCTACTAGCCGAGATGCGGTCTGCGATCTCCTGAACGCTAAATCAACAACAGCCTTCCCTGTCGTGAACCAAGATGGGTGGGTCCATGAATGATAATAATCAATTTCCCTCTGGGATTAATAAAGTATTTTTGAATTGAATTGAATTGAATTGAATTGAATTGAATTGAATTGAATGATCATTTTCAGTGTGACTTCATCTGACTGGCTTTTCTAATCCAAGCATTTCCTCGTCTATTTTCTATCTGTGGCTAATGCAGGAAATTGGTGTAGAAGACTATTTGACCGATCATTTTTCAAAAGGAGCAGGTAAAAAGTGTTTCTCAGTAAACCTGCTCATTGACCAGTGACTTCAAAGCGATATAAGGTGCAGAAAATAAGACACTTATGCTCCATAAATGATGTGAGAGATGTACAGAATATTGATTTAAATGTGTAAACATGTAAGTGTGGGGTTGTGTGAAAGCATAACTGTTTTACCATATTCCATAGTGTTCTCCACAGACTCTCCTGGCTCCAGTCTACGAGCTCTGCGTCCATGTTTGGAGTTGTTGTGGACAAACATGTTGTCTGACACGGCTAAGACGTGTCCGTCCACGCTCACCGTGCTGGACAAGACCACCTGAGCGAGTAGACGAAAGACGAAGACACATGATCACACAGGCTGCGAGTCCAAATCTCACATTACAACAGTAAAATCCCAGAGCAACAATTTGTTCCTGGGCTCAGGTGATAGTCATTTTTCTTAACAGATAATGTGACATCTGTGGGATTCCATAGTATGTCTGCATTCTGGGGATGACACTGCTTACTCACCCCTCCGCTCCTCCATCAGGTCTCCATATGGCCTCCACTCTGACTCTTGCCTAACTTTCTGATTCATACAGCGTGCAGAGAGCTCATCGTCCTCTCCTCCTAATCCCTCAATGACAACAAACATATGGACCAAATCTCCCATTTTAGCTGGCTGTTAAAGTACCGGATGATATATAGCAACCATAATTTGATTTTCTGACTGCAGCGTGTGTGTGTGTGTGTGTGTGTGTGTGTGTGTGTGTGTGTGTGTGTGTGTGTGTGTGTGTGTGTGTGTGTGTGTGTGTGTGTGTGTGTGTGTGTGTGTGTGTGTGTGTGTGTGTGTGTGTGTGTGTGTGTGTGTGTGTGTGTGTGTGTGTGTGTGTGTGTGTGTGTGTGTGTGTGTGTGTGTGTGTGTGTGTGTGTGTGTGTGTGTGTGTGTGTGTGTGTGTGTGTGTGTGTGTGTGTGTGTGTGTGAACTCACATCTGCCTATGGTGGATGACACTAAGGTAATTAACGGGAGTTTTGTTGTCAAATAAAGTGATTTTAAAAGTGATAAGAAGTCAATTTAAGGTATTTGGATGTTTTTTTAATTAAATAATTGCAACTTAAGTATTCAATAAGATGGCAAACACATGGTAAAAGTGTTACAGGTGAGGGAGCAAAGCTGAAGAGACACATATGTTCTATAGGTGGTGGAAAAGAAGGGGGACCCAAAGGAAAATAACTGTAAATTATCGATCAAGCAGCAAACCCCTGCCCAGCTCTGATCACCTTTTAACCCAGAGATGAGAGTCTTTGAGAGCCTGCGCTCGTAACTCCTCAGCATGTGTCACACCACAGGAGTTAAAGCAAACATGGTGGGAGACAGAGAAGGGACAGAGAGGGTTTGCTGGGCAAAAGGAGAATGCCAGATAGAGGCCGCTGGTGCTGAAAGACGGCAGAGGAAGTGAGCTCGGAGTGTCCCTTGTGACCACTTCCTGGGTCACGGAGCATGACCTTCTCCATCTGGAGCCAATCACTCAATTCTTGACAACTTCCTGAAACACCTCAACCTATTTCCTGCTCCCCAGCACCCCCACGACCGCGTCTCCCACATATCTAACTCTTTTTCGTTTGTCTTTCCATCGCTCTGGCTCCTTATTGATTTCTAACTTTCACCTTTAACTCCTTCCTCCAGCCACGTCTCCTGCTTCCAACAGAGCGTTGCCGTGAGAAAGTTTAACGCAACAATGAAACAAACGCAAAGAAAACTGTTAAATCGTATACTTTAGCGTGATAAATGATTATGAAAAAGGTGTTTTTATTACTTTGGCGTGTTTTATGTATTTTTGTTCAGTTTTTATGTACCTGAAATCGCCTCATGTCCCTCGGGTTTCCCGCTGTCTTCAGACAATTCTGGTTACATTTCAGGAAAAACTTCAAGAAAAACCTGCAAAAGGGAAGGAAAAAAATCACATTAAAGACTCCTTTATGTAACTGTTTGTGACACAAAAGCAGTAAAGGGAAATGTTATTTTGTACATGTGTGTGTGTGCATAACTGATCACAGCTCTGACATCAATCCCAGCTGCTTAGTTTAGCATTAAAGTCAATGTTATTACACTTTAAATCAAGTAAAGCGATGCTGAAGCACAGTCCAGTGAAAAGAGCTGCTGAGTTTCAAAGTAAAGCAGAGACAGTGATGTATGCAGCAGACTCGAGGGACTGTGGTATCCCACAATGCCACATTTGAACCCCCCACATGGGACTGGAGACAGAAACAAAGTGGAGACAACCACAGAGAAAATCAAAGGAGGCGGTGGCAAGGCGAACACGGGGAAAGAGGCACATGCAGGTGCTCGTGTGGACAGGAATTTTGTTTTCTAGCTGTCTCATTAAGTATGCAAGTTTGTGTCGGAGTGTGGAGCGGCAGGAGAGAGGGGTGCTGATAGCCTGTGCTGCACCGCAGAAAACCTGGGAGGAAGGTGGGATAAATAGGAAAGAGAGGGAGACTATGAAGAGACTCCAAATCCCAGGTGTGCTCGGTTCGGCAACACGGCCCGCTGCCATGGCAACACAGCTCTGCCGCAATCCCAAAGTCCCCGTGCTGAGAGGCGAAGACGGAGAAGGCAACAACGAGAGCACATTCCTTCACAGAAATACAGCAAAGAGGAGAAGAAGTACCAGAAAAAAAATTGAAAATCATGTGAGGAACAGGATGAAAGAGCCACTAAAACATCACCTGCATGATTTCATTAGAAACACAGTAATAATAAAGTGAACCCGGAGATGAGGACGAGCTTTGATTTAATTTCTTGTCGTCCTTCTGAAAAACGCTATTATTGTTGATGAGGCTCTCGAGTTCTCAGCATCAGGACCCTTTTAAAGTGCTTTTCACACTTGTTGAAGAACTTAATGACCTTTTAAATGTCACACAGTTAAACATCTTATGCAGGGGGTAAATATTGTTCCTTTAAGCTTAATATATTACCTTTACTTATGACCAATAAGATGTGATATTCTATATAAATATAGAATATCAACCTGCTACGTCTTTGGATGTTTAATTAGAAGATTCTAGGATTCTTTGCTTTTACCAGGGATCAGACACACTTCGTCTCAATTCAAACAGAGTCAGGTTTATAAAAGCAAGAAATTTAATTTCTAAACAAATTAAAACCAGACAAGTTAACCAACTGTGATGGATGAATCTAAGTGGATGGGATGTGACGTATGGTGATTTTAATGGTGTGTGTTTATCAGAACCTTGTACCTAGAACAGCTGAGTTCTGGGTGTGAAAAGGACTTGGTTTGCATTAAACTATGAAGTTGGTTCTTATCAAAACGGCATCAGACGCAATCTTGTGTGTCTACCTCACCCTTTCTTTGGAGACCCTCTTTGCGGATCCGGAGGTCAGGGAGGTCGGATGACCTCTGGGCACCGAGGTTCAGTAGATTAATCGCAGCACCGACGCTCCAGTCCAGAGATGTCGCCAGGCACACAGGTTGGAACTAGTTTGCATCTAGAGCAGCTGTTTCTGAATAGCTGAAGGAACCGTTTTGCTGTGTCAGCTGTAGGCAGCTTTTGGCTTGTCGAAAGCTTGCCAAGAGATGTGATGGGAGCAGATTTTCCCTCCGATGGCCAGTCAGAGTTAGCTGAACTAACAGGATGCTGAATCTCACAGAATGCTGGAATGACGAATGAATGAATGAATGAATGAATGAATGAATGAATGAATGAATGAATGAATGAATGAATGAATGAATGAATGAATCACTCCCCAGTGATTCTGTTTTAATATTCTCATATTATGATTTACTTGGCCGATTGGGACGTGCCATGTTAAGGGGTGGTAACAACCATCCTCAGAACATCACGCCTTCTGTCAGATACAGGATGCTCTGATTTGTGGGTAAGAAAATATTTATGTGTCATGACATTTAACTTAACTTTAATTTATCTCTAATGAACCTTGTGTCTGAGTGTAGATGATGATTACCTTGTCATATCAAACATTACTGATCATCACATATAAATCTTTCAATGTAATAATAATATTCATTACCACAGTAATTTAAGCAGACTAATCAACCTTATTAATGTAAGCACAGATTAATCAAAACATTATTATTATTCATCAACCATTATTGTTCATTCAACAAAAGAATCCAGTTTTAAAGTTTCAAGCCAAGGAAAAGTCTGAAAACAAACTTTTATTTTCTTTCTTGACACTATATATATATATATATATATATATATATATATATATATATATATATATATATATATATATATATATATATATATATATATATATATATATATATACACCGTAAATCCTCTAATACAGGCCCGGGCCTGTATTTGACTCAAGCTCATCAAGCTCCAGGCCTTTATTGGAAGGAGGGCCAGAAATAGAGGCAGGCCTCTATTTCTATTTGAGCAAAATGAACTAATGGTTCGCTGGAGTTTTTGACACCTCAAAAACTAATTTAACGCGCGATCGTTCATGTCGGCTCATTTCTTTTAATGTTTTCTGTCTTTTATTTGGGCCTGATGCGTTTCGCTGCTGTGGAGCGGGGCGCATCACCTTGTCCTCTGACGCACCGATCACTGATGCAGCCGCCAAGCAGCGAGCACACCGCTGTTTTTGCGGTCAGTAGATCTTTTAGAACTGCAGTTCAAAGGTAACTCATAAGGTGAATATATATGAACCCAGGTAGCAGTTTTTCTTTAGGATTGAGAGGAGATGCAGGAAGATAATAAACAGGCAGGACAGAAAAATAGTCAAATAAAAACAAGTTTGTTTTTGTACCTGGTGGTTGCAACAAACAGACACCATTGAAGGTAATCAGAAGTGAGGAACAGAAAATGAAATAATTATTTTAATGTTTAGAGCAGCAGGAACTCCGAGAGGCTGCAGGCACATCAGTGAGTTTGCGGCCGCTGCGCAGGGGGAGGGGGGAGATGGCTGAAGCAGAAACTGCCGTTGTTAAAAAAAAATGTGTTTAACTTTGAAAATGCGGGCGCAATTTTAATTGTCAAAAACTCCAGCGAACCATTAGTTCATTTTGCTCAAATAGAAATTGAGGCGTGCCTCTAATTCTGGCCCTCCTTCCAATAAAGGCCTGGAGCTTGCTGAGCTTGAGTCAAATACAGGCCCGGACCTGTATTAGAGGATTTACGGTGTGTATATATATATATATATATATATATATATATATATATATATATATATATATATATATATATACATATATATATATATATATATATATATACATATATATATATATATATATATATATATACATATATATATATATATATATATATATATATATATATATATATATAGTGTCAAGAAAGTAAATAAAAGTTTGTTTTCAGACTTTTCCTTGGCTTGAAACTTTAAAACTGGATTCTTTTGCTAGTTTTAAGAACTTTTGCTGATTATTTACTCAAAACAAGAAAACGTTTTCATATCTAAGAATATTTATCCTGCAGTGCTGTTTTGAAGATAAGAACTTTAAAAATAGATGAATTGTCTAAAAACAAGACTTGTTTACTTCCTTGAAAATCAGTTTTTGCTGTGTAAAAACTTTGACAATGAGGCTAAATTTTTTTCCAATTCAACATGAATCATTTTACCACTGAAAGAGCTTCAAGAATTAAAATGATTGTAAAACCCTTTTCTGATTTCAAAATAAAAGTATGCAGCTGTGTTGGAACTGGCCTGTGCTTATTAGAACAGGTCAGGGCAGTTTGATTTTTAGATGGAAGGATGAGAATATGCACTGATCAAAAATAGCCAATATAAATATATTATTAAGACTTTTTAATCCTTATTGACCTATCACTTAAACATGTTTGCATTACAGTTTCTTTTCAGTTGTGTTAAATTAGGCTTTTAACAAAAAGTTGCAAAAGAGTGAATGTGTACTGCAACATGTGAATTTTCAGAAACACTAGAATTTTTATTGATAACTAAAATTCATCCTGTTGGGAAATGTTTTAATTCTCAGATTTTTTTTCAATGAACTCCCAAAAAATTTTTATTCTTTTAATTTTATACTTCTTTACTTCACCACCACCACAGAAAAAAACACTATTGTACTTTTAACTATTACTGGAATTTTTAAGATGACAATGAATGCACAATTATGGATGTATCTATGAGTATTTATTTTTTATGTTTTTCTTTCTGCGTTAATAACTTTTAAGCAACAACTCAAACATTTTAAAAAAAATTTTAAAGAATACAACTATGATCCCTAATGACCTCATGGCTATATTTATTTGGTGTTCCTGGGTGTGAATGAGCAGATAAAGAAGATAAAATATGAGCTGGTTATCATAACGTGAAAAGTCTGACCTGCGTTTTCCTTTAACCTTCCAATATTCAGTCTGCATCTAAGTAAAGACTCGGAGTACATCTTCCATCATTGTCAATGTTCCAACTAAACAAACAATAACAGTGAGGAAAAAAATGCCACAGAAGGAGGCAACAATGTTGAGCTACACTGGGCTGGTCCCATCCCACCCACACTCTGCTCTTTGTGAATATAAGTCATCCTAATGGATAGCGGCTGTTTGAAGAGAAAATTCAGCTCAGAATCCCCCATTGAATGTTAATCTCTCCCTCATTCTCTCAGCTTTTACTTCTTTCATCACCCGCCTCATTCCAGCTTCCTCCCTTGTGAACAGCACCCGGCTTTACATACTTTTCAGTTCCAACTGTGCGTCCAGTATTATTTGGTTTGAGTTATGCGATCAGAGGACAAGCAATATTGTTGTTGGCAGAGGATGGTTACTATTTATTGGTGAGAACTTGGACCTTCAACCTCAGAGATGCAGTAGACTTTGGTTTAGGAGCTCATCTGTATCTCTGCAACACTTTATGTTTTATTTCTTTCCTTGTTGATGTCTGACTTTAACACCTTGATGTTT